TATCCCCTAAGTACTAGGTAAAATATATTTTTAGGCAAATTAGATGTTTCAACATTTTGTAATTTTTAGTAAAAGAAGTACAAGGTGGTTTTAGTCAGACGCAGTATATTTTTAATTCTTGTAATTTGAATTTCAGTAGTACAAGAGTGTTTTAGTCAGACCATATATTTTAAAGTTTTATTTTTGTTACATTAAATTAATGACCAATTTAGTAAATTTCAAAATCATTTTATTTTTGAATAAAAGTAGTACAAGATGGTTTTAATCAGACAGAATGCATAATCATTTTTTTCAATTTCACTATGAGTAGTAGGTGAAAGTTTATGTCGGACGTGAAGTTAATATTATTTTTATCATCATTAATTTGACAATATTTCAAATTATTGTAAATTTAACATTAGTGGTAAAAATCATTGTCAGTCAGACAGAAATTTGTTGAGTTTTTTCTTTATTTTATAATAAGTAGAAAATGGTAGTTAGAGTCAGACAAAAGGTTGTAAATTATTATTTTAATTTGAATACCAGTAATAAAAGAAAGTTCATGCTAGACAGAATATTTTTTCAGTAGTACAGGCGGTTTTAGTCAGACACAATATTGAATATTTTTGTGTTTTTAGTATCAGTAGTAAAAGAGGCATTTGTCAGTCATGTTTAATTTTCCTTTATTTTGAATTTAAGTAGTGTAAAAAAATTTTAATCAGACAGAATATTAAATATTCTTTTAAATCTAAAATCAGTAGTACAAATGATCTTTTGTCCGACTTTCATTTTTCTAAATCTTCTTCTAGTCAAAAATACATTATCAATAGAATTTCAATAGAAATAATTACTTTGAATATAAATCGTGATTAATATTATTACTGATAGTAAAATATAAAAAAATAATGTTAATATTAGGCAGAAGATTAATTACTTTAGTTGATGAATAGCTTTGTGTCTACTTTAATGACATTATTGGCGAGGAATGCCAACTGGATAATCTCCATACTATGGTCAAAGGGAGGCAAGCGATGCTAAGTGCGTTATGTTAACGAGTTGAGGCTCGATTGATATTAGTTGGTTGCTTTGTCCTGGAATTTGCTAATGTGGCTTTCAATTTCACAAGGATTAAATTCACTTTTCATCTATAGATTAAAGCATATATTTACTTATAAAAGTATTTAAATACCTTGTAACAAAATTTTCATTTCAGAAACAAATTTATTCTATCTTTAGAAATATTTTTTGCAAAATAAAAATTTTGTTAAATAATGTATATTCAGTTACTACTAATAACTTTATAATTATATTTGTTATAATACAACACTATCTGTAAATAAATAAATATTAAGTTTGTTGTTTTAAAAATACTTTATCTTTAAAACAGAATTTTTTTTTTCTTATTTTTTTGTTTGCCAGCTAAATTAGAATATATAATATATATTTCAGTGAAAGAGAGAAGTATACCGTGCTAATTGGTATATATGTGGATAATTCTATTAAGCATGCAGATTGTATTTCAATATTCGAGTGGTTCCCAGTAATTTGAGTTTCTATCAAATTAGGAAATTCTATTCATTTTGAAACGTGAAGTTTATTTGGCAAATAGTCGAGCTCGTTTATGCCAGGCAATTTTTTTTTTCAACACAATTTATCGTTTGAATGAAGAGAGAGTAATGAATCAAGCGGTTATTATTAACTCGTAAAGAACTAGCTTCGTTTTATAGTGGCGTTCATAAAACCTGTTTCGCGTCAAAATTGTTTTCATCATAGACCAAAGGGAAAGAGAGAATGTGTGAGAGAGAGAGAGAGAGAGAGAGAGAGAGAGAGAGAGAGAGAGAGAGAGAGAGAGAGAGAGAGAGAGAGAGAGAGAGAGAGAGAGAGGGGGGGGGGGGGGAAGAGAAGAGGGAGAGGGAATAAACGCTCATTGTTGAACGACATAATTGAAGCGACAGTGCAGCCAATCATTATGCCAACTACGTGCAGTCTGTCACGAATTGGGGCAAACCGAAATCAAGCCAAATCAAACCTTACTAAATTGCAGAGCACACGACTCAACACAGTCCCAAGGTAATGAGCCAGGCTGATTGTTGTATCGAATTTCACTGGACTCCCCCCACCCAATATCTTCAAGAACCCACGATCAGTTTGCAGGATCAATTTTCCTGTTGAATTTATTTATTTTTTTTTTGCATTGCCTTTTCTCTCATACTTCATTGACTTCGACGTAAAATAAGCTCTATTTCTTTATACGAGAAACTTGATTGTATCCAAGGAAAATTCTTGATCTTTAAATTAAAGAAAGATTTTCAAATCAAGACGAAAAATATAAATTATTTTTTCCAAATAAATGTAAATTTATCAATAAAGTAGTAAAGCATTTTTTAGTAAGACGATCCTCAAACGTCATATAAGTAGTAAAAGTCATTTTCAGCCAGACATTTTTTTAAAGTAATTTTTTTATATTCGTTACTTTCACAGCATTGCATTTTTTGACACGTTTTTTTTTGACAAAATCTTATTCATTCAATCTTTGGTTAGACAAAAAAAATGCAGTATGGTTCAGAATAAAATTCTCCCTCTCTCTCTCTCTCTCATTCTTTGTGTGTCGATTACCATATTCACAAACTTGAAGAACCATAAAACTTAACTTGAAACCATAAAACGTTTCCAGATTCGAAAGTTTTTTACGCCTGCCGATAAAAATCAGTTCTAATGAAGAAATATTTCATGAAAAGCGATAAAAACTTAGTTGTGCCATTATCCATGGACCGTTGACGTATTAACGAAGTGTCTATCATAAAAGAAATTTTATTATTGAATATGAATTTCCTAATTATACGGAAAATAAGTGGAAAAGGCCAATATGCGTTAGTCATATACTCAGATTGCTTTTCGTTTACGACTATATTTTTTTTCACAATTTTTTTATCGAATAAAAAAAAATGCGTGATTAATATTGATATTAAATTTTATATATATTTTTTCACTTTAAAATATTAATCAAAATTATATGTTACCATTAATATAACTTTAGATGTATTAATAAAATTTCTTTTAATTTATTTTTTATTATAGTTAAATTAGAATAATGTTATTTTTACTATTAGGAATAAAAAAAAATCGATTTATGATTTATTTTTGTGTTAGTGTGTAAAAATTTGAATAATATTTAGAGCAGAGGCATATAATATCAGATTGTGCGGAATAAAGGTTGAATTACAGTGAGAAGGGTAATTTTGAAAATTACTCGACGTCGACACAAACCTTGATGGGATGTAGAATGGGCAAACCCCCCTGTGACTGACGTTATCATGGTGCATTTGGTACACTTGCTATATATGCAGAATATTCCCAAACGAAGCTGTCTGACTGGGACAGGTCGTTTATATTTAGCGTTGCGTATTAAAAAAATTTTTTTTTTCATATACAAAAATACTATCATCCCAGCACCACTAATTTATCAAAAAAAATTTCCTCCAAACGTTTATTAGACAAACAATATTTTAGTTTAAAAAAAAAATTTACTTAATTCAATGAACTGTATTTTTTAGTTTATCAAGAAATATTTGTTTAATTACAATAAATAATATAGTTGATTAAAAAAATAAAATTCTAAAATTTTTAAATAAAAATTTTATTAAATAAGTTGAAAAAAATTTCATTCATTTGGTTTCCCCTTTCATTTACGAATAATTAAATTCAAATAAATTTTTAAAAAATCTGAGTGACGGTGTTATTTTTTGTTAGTGTTCAATACTTTTTATTTGGAACGAGTTTCAGATTTCAGTTAATTAAAATTCAACATTGAAATCGACTTTATTTCGTTTATAAATATAATATATATATATATATAAAAGGAAGCAAGAAAAGTATAATAATAATACTCATGGAAGAGTTTCATCAAGCCATTAAAACTAAGCGTTTCCCATTCCCAAGAATATCTTTCATCGACTTTAGTGAATTAATAACCTTAATTCGTATGCAAACAGTTCTCTCTGCCTCTCAAGTCTGAGCTTTAAAATATCGAACTTTTGAACAAGATCTACGATGCCTGACATTTCACGAGTTTGAGAGATCAACTCTTTACTTTTAGAAGAATTTCCGAAAAAATAATTTTATTATCTTTCATTATAAGAAAAAGTATTTTAAAAAATTTTAAACAGTTGAAAAATAATAATAATAAGGTATTTATTATAATCTTTGGCAAAAAAAAAAACAGTTTTTGCAGAAAAAAATATTTTTCTCAGTGTGTATGAAAAATGTATTTAAAAAAATTCAAATTCCTTTCAAATTTGGGAATAATTTAATGAATTTTTTTTAATTTAATTAAATGAATTATTTTATTGAAAATATTGTTGAAAATAATTAATTTCTGATTTAAACCAATATTATTAATTACAATATTACTTTTTTTTGATAACATAATACATCTTTTTGACCAATATTTCCGTTTAGCAAGTAAGAGTTTTGCTTTTTATAAAAATGATTCAGAAAAAATTTAAAGAAAGAAAATAGATGAGTGCTGATATCGACCTTCTAAAAAGCTCGGATATATTGATTTTATCGACAAAATTTTTCTCATGCATTTTAGGTTATGTTTATAAGCTGTCACTTTTTAATTATCGAATTGCACATTGTCTTTGATTTTCTGTTATTTTCATTTTTAAATTAAATAGTGAAATAGTCTCCGCAATTAAACTATTACGAAAATAACTGAAAAAAATTCGTTTAATTTTGAGTCGATTCAATTCGGCCATGATTGATATAAATTGATTAAATTTTTTGCATCAAAAAATGAGACCGTTTCGTGTATCATTTCTAAAAATGATACACAAAACGATCTCTTTTTAATATAACTTATGTGCATCAAAACGTTGCAATAGAAAAAGATACAACCAAGTTTACTGTGATAAGTTACGCCAATATTGGGTGCCAGTACTGCACCATTGGTAAATTTTTGATTGGGTTAGTTTTCTTATTAATTCTTTAATTGTATATATACATTTTTTTTGTTTCAGAAAAAAGCAACAACAATACTGTTCAATTGCTGCGTTTATTTTGGTAAGTTGAAAAACTTTTTATAAATATATACGGAAAGTGTGACAACTCCGTTATTATTTAAGTGATATTTTTTTTAATATAGAATTTATCGGTCCAAAAACAGTTTATTTAATTAAAATAAAAATTATGCAAGAAAATACAAAATTTGATAATAAAGTAACCGCATTATTTGAATAAAATAAATATTATTTTTCAGTGTAACAAAAAAATAATTAATTAATTTAAAAATTAATTAATTTAGTTGAAAAAATTTCTAATATTAAACGAAAGGAGATAAAAATTGAGCACTTGCACAAGTATTTTTAAGCAATAAGACTTTGTTTTCTATTTATTAAAGTAATTTTTCCGCTTCCTGTTCACATTCCTTTTCTCATTCCCCTTTTCCTTAAGGTTCTTGAAGTCGAATTCACTATTGTGAAAGGGATAAATAATAGGCGTGCAGGAATGCAAGAAACGCGGGATGAGATCTGTTGGTAAATTCACGTATATAGGAACGATGAGGGTGGGGTAAGGGGAGGAAATAGTTTCCTGTGTGTAGTTTCTCAGAATTGTGGCAGTAGTTGATATCTCGAGTCATAAAGGTTATCGGTGATTCTCTGCAAGACATGTGTGATACCCGAGTACATGCAAAATGGCTTGTGCCATTCTAGCTCGTAAAATATATGTATAGCTATGTGTGTGTGTGTATATATATAGATATATAGCCAGTTAGTGGGTGATGGTTAGTGGTCAGTTTAATAGAATGAATTAGTCCTCACTGAATCCCTGGTACATGTTGCTTACAACACAACTGTTATTTGCTTGCTGGCTCTCGACTAATGCTAATACTTGCTGTTTGCGCGGTTGTTACATTGTACATTATAACTCGATACCACCTGTCTATTATTTGTCCAAGTAACTGTCAATAAAGCTTATAACTCTTACCCGAAGGCGAATTGAATGTTTCAATCTATTATGTTACAACGTTACGTCCTTACTAATCAAATTCAACAAAGAAGCAGAGGCAAAATTCAAAGCCTCCGAAATTTTTTAAGGACATTTTTAGGTTTTAAATACAAATTTTATTTCAAATACATAAATTATTGATTTAAATTTTTAATAAGAAAAGAAAACTATTTTGTCAAAAAAAAAAAAAAATTAGAAAGAACAATTCGAATAAAAAAAAATATATATATATAAAAGATGTGAAGTAATTTTTTTATAATTTTGCTTTTAAGGCGAGAGTAAGTACTTTGTGGAAGTAGATTTTAATCATTATAGTGGAGATTAAACAAGTTCTTTGTCTATTATTTTTAAGAGGTAAAAGTGTAATTCTTTTGTTAAAAATTGTAGACACCAAAGTCCTTTTTAGCAGAGGAGAAATCTGCTCATGTGGTAAGCACGTGTTTCAATTTCATTGTTCCCTACTAAATATATATAAATATATTTTTTTAAAAGTGTATCGTATTGCATAAAATAATTGCATAAATAATTGCATGTTTCTATTATTTTTTTATCTTAAAACAAAGACGTATTACATTCAAAAAAACCTATCAATTGAACCTAAATTGCAGTAGAATAGGAATAGTCAATTTTTTTCGATTTTTTTAGATAGAATGTTTTCCTGGAAAATGCAAAAATCCCTTATAAAACTAAATAAAATTAAACAGCATGTCTCTATTATTTTTTTACCTTAAAACAACACGTATTACCTTTAAAAAAAAACCTACCAAATAAACCTAAATTGCAATAGAATAAGAATAGTCAATTTTTTTCGATTTTTTTAGATAGAATGTTTTCCTGGAAAATGAAAAAATCCCAATCTAAGTTAAATAAAATTAATCAGCATGTTTCTATTATCTTCTTACCTTAAAAGAACACGTATTACCTTTAAAAAAACCTACCAATTGAACCTAAATTGCAATAGAATAAGAATAGTCAACTTTTTTCGATTTTTTTAGATAGAATGTTTTCCTGGAAAATGAAAAAATCCCTTATGAAATTAAATAAATTTAAACAGCATGTCTCTATTATTTTTTTACCTTAAAAAAACACGTATTACCTTAAAAAAAACCTACTAATTAAACCTAAATTGCAATAGAATAAGAATAGTCAATTTTTTTCGATTTTTTTAGATAGAATGTTTTCCTGGAAAATGAAAAAATCCCAATCTAAGTCAAATAAAATTAATCAGCATGTCTCTATTATTTTTTCACCTTAAAACAACACGTATTACCTTCAAAAAAACGTACCAATTGAACCTAAATTGCAATAGAATAAGAATAGTCAACTTTTTTCGATTTTTTTAGATAGAATGTTTTCCTGGAAAATGAAAAAATCCCTTATGAAATTAAATAAATTTAAACAGCATGTCTCTATTATTTTTTTACCTTAAAAAAACACGTATTACCTTTAAAAAAACCTACTAATTAAACCTAAATTGCAATAGAATAAGAATAGTCAATTTTTTTCGATTTTTTTAGATAGAATGTTTTCCTGGAAAATGAAAAAATCCCAATCTAAGTCAAATAAAATTAATCAGCATGTCTCTATTATTTTTTCACCTTAAAACAACACGTATTACCTTCAAAAAAACGTACCAATTGAACCTAAATTGCAATAGAATAAGAATAGTCAACTTTTTTCGATTTTTTTAGATAGAATGTTTTCCTGGAAAATGAAAAAATCCCTTATGAAATTAAATAAATTTAAGCAGCATGTCTCTATTATTTTTTTACCTTAAAAAAACACGTAATACCTTTAAAAAAACCTACTAATTAAACCTAAATTGCAATAGAATAAGAATAGTCAATTTTTTTCGATTTTTTTAGATAGAATGTTTTCCTGGAAAATGAAAAAATCCCAATCTAAGTCAAATAAAATTAATCAGCATGTCTCTATTATTTTTTCACCTTAAAACAACACGTATTACCTTCAAAAAAACGTACCAATTAAACCTAAATTGCAATAGAATAAGAATAGTCAACTTTTTTCGATTTTTTTAGATAGAATGTTTTCCTGGAAAATTAAAAAAATCCCTTTTAAAGTAAAATACAATTAATCAGCATGTTTCTATTATTTTTTTACCTTAAAAGAACACATATTACCTTTAAAAAAACCTACCAATTGAACCTAAATTGCAATAGAATAAGAATAATCAATTTTTTTCGATTATTTTAGATAGAATGTTTTCCTGGAAAATTAAAAAATCCCTTTTAAAGTAAAATAAAATTAATCAGCATGTCTCTATTATTTTTTCACCTTAAAACAACACGTATTACCTTCAAAAAAACCTACCAATTGAACCTAATTAGCAATAGAATAGGAATAGTCAATTTTTTTCGATTTTTTTAGATAGAATGTTTTCCTGGAAAATGAAAAAATTTAGACCTGTACAAAATAAGTCGAACCGAACTGTTCGAATTTTTAAGCTGAGTTCGAATGTCGAAAATCCGACATCCGAGTCAGTTTAGTTCGATTGTCGAAAGTTCGAAATTCGAGTCTGGGTCATTAATACTTGAACAAAATTCGATTTGATTCGTACATTACACAGCTCTACTAAATTTATATTTAACACAAATTATAAAAAATAATCCAAAAAGGATTCATTCTCCCTTAAAAATGTTTTTTGAGTCTTATCTTTAGTTAAAAATTTTTGTTAGAAAAAATTATTATTATTATTATTATTATTAAAGTAGAAAATAGTTTTTCTTGAAACGAGATGTGTGGTGCATAGAGATCGTTAAAAAAAGATTTTCCAACTCTATGTGTGTAACCTTCGCTTTTCAACATATATGACTAATTCAAGAGCGAGAGACTCGCTCGCGGAGTCAGAGAAAATCCAAAGTACAATCAAGATACGGGCATATCCTCAAAACTGATGTTATCTGAGAATATATTCAGGTGGGATTTAGTTGGTGCGAAATGGAGCTCTCTCAGAGAGATGTTCTCTCATTTCGTCAATTTTCTTGCATGATGTGTATTCTCATTTTTCTATATATGTAGATATATATTTTTTTTTATGTGTAAGGGTAGCAAAAAATATTAAAGATTTTTCATAGGGTGAGACAGGATGTGCCTAGCGAAGCGAGTTATTCCTCTTGTATGATGCGACTATCCAAATTGAGACTCGATCGAATCGATAGCATATTCCGTACACCGTCTGCGGCTTTCCGTCATCCTAATAAAATTTCAACCCAATTCCAATAGCACCTTGACAAGAAAATACTTACACCCTGTGAATAAGACTACTACGACGACGACGACCATCAACTTTTTCTATTTTACTTTTTTTTTCTTGACCGATTTATTTCTATTCTCGTCTGAACGCAAGCAGGACTTTACCACTGATAGGTACTAAAAATATTTATATGGATATCAGTACGACTAAAACTGGTATTTAGTACTGGGAGAAAAAAATTGCTGTAATTTGGAGTTAACAAAATTTCTAAATTACTGTGACAAGTAAAATAAAAGAATTTCTAAACGTTTTGTCTGACTGTCAATGTCTTCAACTACTAATACAAAACGAATGAGTAAGCGAAATTTTTTTGGTCCATTTGTCGGAGGATAGTGGTCCAGGAAATCTCGTAAAATTTTTAATTCCGAATTTTTTTTGGTACATTGTAAGTCGTATGCTGTTGGTCCTATCAAAAAGTGCCTTGTATACATTTTTATATACCGTTGCTAAGAACATTTTTTGCCTAGCAACGGTTGCTATGAACATTATTACTCCTAGCAACGGTTGCTAAGGATATTTTTTGCCTAACTACGGTTGCTGAGGACTTATCTTCCTTAGCAACCATTACTAAGAAAATAACCGTTTCACATAATAAATTATATTAATAATTAAGTAATATTAATATTAGCCACGAAACCCTTCGATGCGCCTGCTTAACTCACACTTTTTTCAGAGAACTCATTCCTAGGAAAACTGCAGTGGTAATTATCTCAAGGTGAAATATAAAATTTTTAAAAAGAATTTTTAGAAGTGTTTTTAAATCTCGAGGATTGAGCAAACTTTTTTTTGTCACTTGCGCATCTATATATAAAACATCTTTTCCT